TGCTTTACCAACTAACTGAAATAAGGTTTAAGCTGAACTAATAAAATTACTAAAACTGAAATAAATAAATTAAAGGTACAATATGTAAGTTTTCACCGCTAGAGGGCGCATATTCAAAAGAAACAAAGGTGTAGTTTGATGACGCCGTGACTGAGTGTCTTCATCCCCACAGCCGATGCAATCCGACGGGACTCCGGCAGAAATCATGTTCATGGATGAGCTAATGTATTAAAGATTTATTAACATAGTAGTATGAAGCAGTGAGGCGGAAAGCTGTCAAAGCGAAACGAGGCCGCTGAAGCAATTGCTAATGAGAGACGAGAGTGACACACGGCTCGAAAGCAGCGGAGCTTTTATTATGCCACACTTTAGCGCTTCCGCTTCTTCCGGTCGTGAGGTAAAGCAGCGCTGTTTTATCATATTAGATACGTTTGAAAGTTCTGTTATAATGCTACTCTGTGCGGTCGTCACCTGTCTAATAACACACACACACACACACGATGCGTTACTCTGCGCTGCGCAAAACTCTGCATTTGAACAGTCAATAGCAAATACTTAAACTAATAACAAAACATACTTACAGTCGCTGATTCAGAAGCGCCAGATTGTCATAGCAAAGTCGGAATTGACCTTTTTTTTTTTTTTGAAATAGCCTTTGTGCATAGCCAGCTTTGTACTCTTCTAGGTTAAAAAAAACTGTCGTCCACAAAATGCGTTGCACAAATTCGAATATCTGGGTTGTGCTGTTCTGTTGTAAATAAATCTTAACCAATGATTCCTAATTGCATCTACTTCCGGAAGGCCAAATAAAGTGCTTTTGCTTTTGCACTGAAACACAGCGTCTCCCTGACATGGCTGCATCAACACGACTGCTGTTCCTGAAACCACGCCTTCTTTCTTTGCGTGCACATTTGGGCGGCATTATGCTAATATTTCCACATAGTGACGTAGATATGTGGGGGCGTGCTAGAACGAGCCGTTTTAGGTAGGCGTGGCTGACTCTTAACTTTTATAAAGAATATCTCTTTGGATTTGAGACTTTAGTCTTTGCAACTTTACAGATCTTCTTTATGCACCAAAGAGTTTGTAACACTCCAAAGAGAAAGGAAAACTTGAAATCGCATCACATGACCCCTTTAAAATAAATTATTTAAAAAAATGAAATATAAAAATATAAAAATAAAAGCTAATTAAAAATGATAATAAATTCAGCCAGCTGTTTTTAATTTAACATTCTGTTGTATCACTTTTAAATATAGTCTCAAAAATACATGATCGTCATTTCATTAAAGAAATTAGCATGGAACACCCACCGTTCAAATGCATTTCAATTGTTTGCCATCTCTAGAAAGATGCTTTTAAAACCACTAAAGTTTAACTTTATATACTTTGTTCAGCACATTACAAAAGACTAAGGCCTTTGTACATGAAGACTTTCAGCTGATACAGTACATCTGTACACACACCACCTGAGTGACACCTGCTGTCACACAAGAATGTAGCAGGTAAACATCAGGCAGAGATCTGTTCCTTAAGTTTCGGTTTTACATCACAGGAACACAGTCACACCCTGAACCTTTTACTGTAAAGTGAAAGATGAACTTATGTGGCGAAGAGGAGCTTAGAATCAGTATCCACTTGTGCTGTATCTCTGTGTTAATAGATCACATTCTATTCTCTAGACCAGGAAGTGGGTAAGTCTGGATTCATGCATATCATTGAGTAGCACCCTTGTGAAAATTTAGATAAATGTTGAATAGATACATTTTGGTTTTACAGTATGTCACGAAGTTAACTAGCTTAAACAGTCCTGTAAGTTTTAGTGAGGGCTGTGCAATTTTTCTGTTCTTGATGCAAACTACACATATAAATACATCAAAACATCCCTGATGCCTGTTCTGAAATGCCTGTTTTTAACAGTTTATAATTTCTTTTATTTTCTATTTCTTTTTTAGTTCTTACTCTTTAAGTGAAAGCCTTAAAACAGGTTGTAAAGCTCTAAGGTGTTACACAATTGTCTGTAAAACAATAATGATGTCAGCAAGGGTTAAAAACTAACACTGAGTTGCTACTCTGTGTTTTTTATTTTTACAGATTATTATTATTATTTTATCCATGAGAAATAAACACATCTAGCACATTTCCATACATAATTCATTTGCATTTATACTGCATTCAAATTTTAGGCTGGATTGAGCATCACAACGGAGGATCAAACACTGTATTTCTGACCTTGGGTTTTTCACAGCTTTATTATGGAAAGTCAAAGGAGATCAAGTAATAAGGAGGATCTTTACTATGTTGCTCTTTGAGTTATTGTTTGTATCTATAGAGAAGCATTATACTTACTTATACTTGTTCTGTTATCATAAAGTTGGAGATGATTCTTCCATTTCACCTGAGCTGGACCGCTTGATCAGACAGAGAGGTCGAGATCTACGGCTGCGTAAGCTTGACCAACAGAATGCTGTGAAGATAGTAAACCATCTGATTGATAGCCTGCTGGAATTCCTGAAGAATAATGATGATCAGCCCTTCTTCAGGGAGGTCTCAGTTCTCACCAGTGGCAGCTATTATGAGATGGTGAAGGTAAAAGGTTTGAATGATAATACTGAGAGCAATCAGCTAGTAGTGTCAAATAGAAAGAGTTGCTCAAGTTTGTATCGGATATTGCCTGGAATTAATATACACTACTGTTTAAAGGTTTGGAGTTTTTTTTTTTTAAAGCCTTTTTTTTTCAATTCAAAAAGCTTGTATTAAATTGATGAAAAGTGACAGTAAAGACAATTGTTGTGTTACAAATTATTCCGTGATACAAATGATTTTGTGTTTAACTGTTGAACTTTTTAATTCATTAAAGCACTTTGAAAAACATCTATCATGGTTTCCACAAAAAACAAACAAACAAAAAACTGTTCAACAACACTGATAATAATATTAAATGTTTCTTGAGCACCAAATCAGCATATTAGAATGATTTCTGAAGGATCACGTGACACTGAAGACTAGTAATGACTTCTGAAAATTCAGCTTTGCCATCACAGGAATAAATTACATTTTAAATATATTATGAAAACAGTTATTTTCAACTGTAATGATATTTCACAATAGTACTGTTTTTACTGTATTGTATTACTGTAAATTTAATCAAACAAATGCAGCATTTGTGAGCATAAGAGTCTTGTTTCAAAATCATTAAAAAAAAATCATATCAACCTCAAACTTCTTGAATGATGAATTGTAAATGATGGGAATAATGGAATGACAAACTATAATTTTTCACCAACAGATCAACAAACCCAATGAGTTTGACATTATGCTAAAATTGAAAGTCCCAAGGCTTGTATTGTCAGAACTGGAAAAATATCAAGGACTGTTTTATAAGATAAATCTTTTCAAAGCCACACGAACTGAAATCCAGCATTTTCTTCTGGAAGATGAGCGAACCGTCTCGGCCACCAAAATCAAAGCAGAAATGCACCGCTTGGTCCGCAAATTCATTAACAACCATTTTCAAGGTGCGTTTTACTGATTTCTTACTATTTTTTTCTTACTGATTTTACTGTTTCTTAACACCATGTACACACATTATACAGTACAATTAAAAAATTTGGGGTAACATTTTTTTTATGTTTTTGAAAAGTCTCTCATGCACACCAAGGCTGCATATAATTAAAAAAATAAAATAAATACAGTAAAAACAGTAATATTATGAAATAGTATTACCATTTAAAATAATAATATTTGAATATATTTAAAAATGTAATTTTGAATGAATTTTCAGCAGTCATTACTCCAGTCTTCAGTGTCACTTGATCCCTCAGAAATCATTCTAATATGCTGATTTGCTGCTCAAGAAAAAAATAAATAAATCTGACCCCAGATTTAGAAAGGTAGCGTGCAGCTTTGAGATTGTTTGTGGTTCTGCTACCCGTTCACAGGTGAAGGTTGGGTGATACGCAGAAATCTAATAAATTCACCGGCGGTGACCCTTGAATTTAAGCCAAAAGAGAAAGTCGATGATGTGATGTCTGTAGACATCGTACCTACTCTTGAGGTGCCACAAGGTTGGCCACAAGCAGCACGGGAAGGGCTCAATATAGACAAATGGCTTGGAAAAAAATGTCGTCGTCAGTTTGTAAGTAAGGCTGTGTATTTCGTCCCAAAGAGGCCAAAAGGAAGAAACCTCAAAGATGATGCCAAAGGTATGCTGGCACAATCATTACAAAAACATTTCTTTCTTTCCTTAGCATATAAGGATGGTATATTTGAGGTACTTGTTTTCAGAGAGCTGGTGAATATCCTTCTCTCACATTGAAAAAGAGATGATGCAGTATCATGGAAATAAGAAGACGTGTTGTGAGAGTCATTCCAATAAGTGCTGTCGGTATGAACGAACACTCATGTTTATAGTAGGTTATGTTATAGAATAATATCACGATGCCCCTTACATTTTCTCTTCTTTCTTAGGAAACTTTGCATGCGGCTTCTGAAATGTGTGATTGAGGGGCTGAAGCAGCAGTATCCCAAAGAGCTTGAGCCTCTGTGTTCCTACCATGGGAAAACAGCCTTCTTCCACGTCCTTTCAGACAGAGTACAAGATTCCCTTTGGTCTCCAGGCCAGCTGTCCGTCTCCTTCATGAAGCTCTTTGGATACTTTGAGCGATGTGCACTAAATGGTTCACTACCCCACTTCTTCGTTCGAGAGCATAATCTTTTCTCCCCACCTGCATTTCCCAAGAGAGCTCTTGTATTTCTGACTAATGCTTTGAAGGAGCAAAGAGAATTGGGACTCCCTGTTTTGAAGGTACCAAGTCCTACCTCTGCTCTTGTTCCTGACACTGATGCTGTGATGCACCCAATCAATGGCACAGACAGCATCGTTGCCTCTGACTGTTCTTTTAAACATGTGTATGTATGCTTACTGGTTGTAATTATGTGTGTAGGAATCAAATGTGTATTTCAAAAATGAATGATTTTTTTTTTGTTGAACCCTCTAAATGGAGAGGTAATCATTGTGCAATACAATATTATTTTAAAATAAAATTTTAATGAAGATTAAAAGATCATCCAGTAATGTCATATGCTTAAATTATTTTGTGTGTGTTTTATCAGAAATGTACAGCCAAACACAGTGTTTGTAAACTCTCTTTTATATGGGTCATTGTGAACTCTGAAAATAAACTTATCTGCAATGGCATATCATATTTAACATATTTGATAATAACATATTTGATTTCCATATTCTGAGAAATAAAACTGGAGAAAAAAAATAGTTCCCCCTTTTCACTGAGGATACACAGTGTGCTTGCTTTCCTCAAAAAAATAAAATAATAATAATAAATAACTTTATCATTTTAGTATAGTTTTGTAGTAGGACTACATATAGTACTTAAATACAGTGATATTATGAACTCTTCAGTAAATCAGAGAACAGACAACATATGTGAACTGGATTGAAGTCTGATTTCATAAACTTGTCTTAACAATTTAGACCTTAGTCAGGGTAGTGCCATGTTTAATTTTGACAGGAATGAAAACAAGGGATAGAAATACAGTCTGTTCAATACATTTTATTGTTCTTTAACAACATTGTTCAGCTGACTGAATGTCTTTCTGGAAAAAAAAACTTTCAGTGGACAAAAATTCCATAAAACAGTTTTGAAACAGTTGATCTTGGACGTTAAGTGCATGCCATTGTAAAGACTGTTAGTCTATTCCTCGCAGCCTTGTTTTCATTTAATACAGTGTTTAAATTGACTAAGGTCAATGACCTAAAAGACAGTCCTCTCTGGATCTAAGTCAGAGTAGATGCAAATACTTTGCAGTATAGATGTGTTTCTGCTTTCTGAGTGGAAATTGTTTCTACACTCTTAAAAATAAAGGTGCTTCACGATGCCATAGAAGAACCTTTTTGTCTAAATGGTTCCATAAAGAACCTTTAACATCTGAAGAACCTTTCTGTTTCACAAAAGGTTCTTTGTGGCAAAAGAAGGTTCTTCAGATTATAAAAAGGTAAGAAAGAGATGGTTCTTTAAAGAACCTTTGACTGAATGGTTCTTTGTGGAACCAAAAATGGTTCTTCTATGGCATCGCTTGAAGCACCTTTTGAAGCACCTTTATTTTTAAGAGTGTACACCATTTTTTCCCCGTATCATTTGTTACTCGAGTAAGTATCTAAGTATCTAACTTTGCATTTTGACTATCCCAAGGCACAGTTCAATGGATTTGATAGAGTGAAATTGATTAAACTTGTAGGCTATTTCTGAATTTCTGTTAAACTCTTCTCTTTCCCTAGTTATTGCTATGTAATAATATATGCTCAACAGTTTCTGCTTGACCAAATGATTACATAATTCTGTTAATGTTTCCTTATTATGAACAAAGTTGATTCAAATCAAATCAAAGTTGATTCGAATCAAATTCAATTTCCTATTATGAGTCGACTGATAATTGTATCTTCTTTCCTATTACTGAAAACTATTTTCCCTTTACCAACTTGTTCACTTATGTTCCGAACTCTATGCAAACTTATAAGTGTCTCATAGGCCTATATCAAATCTTGCCTTCGACTCCAAGTTTGGAGTCTTTAAAAATGACCGGAACTTCGTCAGCGCAAACCGCAAGCTGTGCCTGAACATCTGTGTGGGTGAGAGTGGTGACAGACTGACCCGTGCTGCTAAGGTGCTGGAACAGCTGACAGGCCAGACTCCTGTCTTCTCCAAGGGTAGGTGGATCTTTTTATTTCTTGATAGTGGTTGAAAATGTTTGCACTCAGCTACATTTCATGAATGTGGGTTTAAATTCTTTGGTGTTTGTGAAGTTGTGCCGTGCATTAAGTGAAAATGTCTCCCACCAGCCCGCTACACTGTGCGATCCTTTGGTATCCGTAGAAATGAAAAGATTGCAGTCCACTGTACTGTCCGTGGAGCCAAGGCTGAGGAAATCCTGGAGAAGGGACTGAAGGTGAGAGGAATGTGTTTATGGAAATGGACTACTTAGCATTTGGTGTGCTAAAATTAGCCAGGGCTATATCTCACTCGTAGTCCATAGTGGGTTCTTTAAATTTCAAGTTTGTTCCGAACTCTATGCAAACTTATAAGTGTCTCATAGGCCTATATCAAATCTTGCCTTCGACTCCAAGTTTGGAGTCTTTAAAAATGACCGGAACTTCGTCAGCGCAAAGCATGCTGGGCGGTGTAGTTCTGGGGACTGAAAACGCAGCATAAATGCTCTGCGCCGGAAGTATATCGTCCTCTTCTAAGTGATCAAACATGGCGGTGAGTACGGAAGAAATTGTGATAATGAAGGAGTATCATTAAAATCAACAAACATCTGCTTGTTTGCATGCAATAATCACGTGAAGCACACCTTTATCAGTCCCTGTTGCTGTGATACACAGAATCAGGACAGTATTTGTGGCCAGAATGATTTGATGCGGTGGATGTCGGCGTTAGATATTAGATGAGGCGTTAGCTTTAGAGTCGAGACGGCACGTCATTGACTAGCTTAAAGTTACTTATGTACTCTGTTTCTGTGGAAACGACAGGGTCCGGATGAATAAACCGCAGCTCCGTTGTATGTAGTGTTCAGTATTGATAGTTTGTGGCTTATAATGCCATACTAGTGGCTTTCCAAATGGTGGATATGTCCGGGAATGTTCATTTCGGACCCGTGGCCATATGTAGTAGTTTTTTGTTTAGCAGTGGTTTTATTTTTGGTACAGCTTTAGCATGAAATTGAGAGAGCTGGTGAGGTTTGAGAAGAAACCCCTTTCCTGACAGCTAATTATTGGGCTGTATGTCGTTATACAGGACCAGGGTGAGAAGAAGGAGAACCCCATGAGGGAGCTGCGCATCCGCAAGTTGTGCCTGAACATCTGTGTGGGTGAGAGTGGTGACAGACTGACCCGTGCTGCTAAGGTGCTGGAGTTGCATTTTATTGATCCAAAAAGGTCACATTTATTTATCCATTTACATTGCAGCTGCTGAACCTTGTTATTTATTCATTTCCTGTGGATTAAGGAGTTTTAGTTGGACTTGTGCATGTTATTCTGCCACTATACTTGCTCATATGAATATCCATTTTAAAACCAAAATACCAATTCTACTGTAGGTGGTACTAATTTTTCGGATGGGCTTTTCTCTTCCCGATATGTTTTAGACTGTCTGAAACCAAAAGTTAATGCAGTAAGCCTCGAGAAGCCATGGGGTACAGTGATTTTAGAACAGCTAGCATTGAGCAGAGTACTAAAAACAGTGACAGAAATGTAGTCATTTATTGATGATTACTAATCCTCAATTTGTGATGACTGTTAAAATGTGTTATCACAATCTGCGAAAAGGGTCCATATAGTTCTTCACCAGTGTGTAGCAAAATGGTTCTCGAGCAACACACAGATGCAGTTGTATAGCAATACTGATGTAATAAGGTCACAGGTGAACGTATATATGGAGTATTGTACAATGGCTTCAAAAGCAGCTCAGCCAATAATAAAGTCTGGAACTATCCATATTATAACAGATATTTTACTAATGTGTATTGGTTGTTATGCAGTAAAGATGAAAGCAATCACATCTTTTAACCTTAACCTGTAATTTCATGGTTATTTGGGCAATTATGAATAACCAGTTTTAATCTGTGTTTACTGTAGGTTCTTGGCAGACCTGGTTTCAGCATTGCTGACAAGAAGAGGAAGCAGGGCCGCATCGGCGCCAAGCACCGTATCTGCAAAGAGGAGGCAATGCGCTGGTTCCAACAGAAGGTGTTTAAATAGCTGATACCTATGTTGATTCAGTTTCCAAACAGTTCAAGCAAATGTATGAAAACGTAGCTAGCACAGCTGCTGGCCTTGTTTGCCACCTCACTCATTGTACCAGTCTTCTCTTTAAATTTTAAAACTGATTTTATGTTAGACAGACCTCCTTAATTTTCCAGGATGATTTGCTCTTTTTGCACTGGTAGCTTTAATATTGAGACATGCTATTTTTATGTCTTTAGAGTACCGTTTTAAATGCTACATTTTACTGTTCAACTATGGCAACTGTAATATTGGTGAACCTTGTTTTAAAGCGTTTTCCAAGGCAGTTAAAATGTTTCTGTAAACATAGACTGTATTTGAGTGGATATTGTACTTGTTTTCTATATTCCTGAATTTACTTACACTTGCTTTGTTTGTCTTTCAGTATGATGGCATCATCCTCCCTGGCAAGTAAAGGACCACATTTTCCCCCCAATTTGTAACACAAATAAAAGAAAAGCCCGAATGTGATGCTGTCCATGTGTCTTTATTTGTTGAAGTACAACACTGGAGCACTGGTGTTGCTCACTTCACATAGTTTGTAATAGTGTTGCATGTGAAGATATCAATCAAGTATATGAAATATTACTTGTTTGTTGACTTTTTAGTAAGTCATTTTAAAACTGAAATTTTAGCTGTAGTTATTTAGGTGGTACAAATTTTAGGAAGAGTTTAACAAATCTAGAGACTTATGTGGTGGTTAAATGCTTTTTGAAGCGCCTGCATTTCATTACCAAGACACTAGTTTTTGACAGTTGAGGGTTGGTTCGTGATTATGTTGCAGTGAATATTGCAAAGGAAAAAAGAGACGTAATTTATTTATTTTTAACAAGTTTTATTCAATGAAATTCCAGAGATCTATTACCAGACAACACTCCAGGCTCTAATCTGCTACATTTTCCATGTTATACATTTATTTCCATTTGGTTATGTATTCAATTGTTGACATTTTGTTGGGTATTTTTACTGGTTCTTTTAGAAGGTTTTGTTTTATCATACCATTTATAGGTGTTTTGACCTCAACACAGGCAAGTAAAGATCCTTTAATATAACTTAAATACATAAAGGGGTTAAATGGGAAATATGGAAAGCATGATTTAAAAAAAAAAAAATCATAACCAGTCTATAAAAATGTTGGTTAATATGTGTGGTATTATGCACATTCTTTGGTGGGCATTATCAATAGTTTGGTGCCTAATTGTGTGTCTGAGGGGGGTATTGACTTTTGCATTGTACCTCTTTGCATATAAGAAATTTAAGTACCCCTGAACAACTTTTGCAGTTATTGGGTTTGGTTAAGAGAGAAAATTGATAAACTTGATTTAAAAAAACAAAACTATAAATAATGCGAGAAATAAACTTCTATTACTTAATTCAGTACTACTAAATTAGCTTGGTGATAATCCCAAAATGGTATTTTCAATAAAACTGTATGGCTCAATTTCTAAAACTCATTTACATAAACTCATAAGAAAATACCTCTCTAAATTCCTTGCACTGCAGAGGCTCTTGTGAAATGTACCTTTCACATTGTTTATACGTGGGCCCTAGGTAGTACCTTGTCTTTGAACTCCCTGTATACCTAATGCATCTTTGGAGTTTAAGAACAAGACTTTAAAACAAAGACTTCTGTGCTTTTCCCTTCATGTTGTTATTCTTTTTACATTCCATTTCACCTATACGTCTCTCTCTCGCGCTCTCTTTTTTCTACACTCTCTTTTCACCCTGTTTCTTTCTTACTCTTTGTTTCCCCCCAGCTTTTCTTTCTCATGCAGTGTTATTCTGTGCCACACTGCTCTGATCTTCATGGAAAGGTGTGTTCCGGTGTCTGCGGGATGTGTGACGTGGGGGCAAGGGAAGGGCACAGCAGGACACCCCCACAATGGGTTCCGGCAGGTCTTCCACTGTTGACCAGCTGTCAGTGCCTGGGTCATAGCGTTGGACTGCTGACTTGTATCGTTTCTCTGCTTCATTCCATCCACCTAGCAGGTACAGGTGATCTCCCAGTGGAGACATACCAGCTGTGCTCACTCCCAGGGGCAGGGTGGCAACTCTGGTCCACTCCTTGCTCTCAGGGTTGAAGACCTCCATGGTCATCACATCAATGCGGACTCCGCCGGGACCAAGTTGGCTACCTCCTACCACGTACACCTTGTCACCTACTGTTGCAGAGCAGTGCCAGCCACGAGGTGTTTCCAACTCTCCCTGCTCGCTCCAAATGTCACTGTCAATGCTATAACAAATGACAGAGCGAGAGTAAGCGCAGTTAACATACCCACCAGTCACCAAGATGTCTCCCGACGGTAGGACGGCACTAGCATGGCAGCATCGTGGCATATCCATTGGCGTACGGAGTTGCCAAGTGTTGGTAGAGGGCTGGTAGCTCTCAATGGTGGCCAAGAGGCCATCAGTGTTGCGGCCACCAATGGCATACAGCCGTCCACCAGTGGCCACCAAACTGAAATGGGTACGTCGTTGGCGCATGCTGGTAAGATGCAGCCAAGTGTTAAAGCGAGGATCGTATCTGAGGATCAGAAGGTAATGCAGTCAAATCGGTGTATAAAATTTTAGACTAGGGGTATCCAATCCTGTTCTTGGAGGGCAACATTCCTGCAGAGTGACAACATGCCTGGAGCCACCTAATAATCCTGAAGCCCTTGACGAGCTAGTTAAGTTGTGTTTAATTAGGTTTGGGACTAACCTCTACAGGAAAGTGGGACTCCAGGAGCAAGATCTGACCACCCCAGTGTTAGACTGATTGATAGGGTCTACTGATGACTAAATTATTTGTTATAACATGCCTGCTAAGGGTGCCAACAGCATGTTTAGCCTGGTTTCGGGCATCATTTTGATCTTCTCCTCCTGCCACATACAGGAATCCATCCATCACAGCCACGCACTGGTTGAAACTCTTTGCTGGCAGCTGAGTAAGATGACGCCATGTAGCCGTTCCCTCTCGCGGATCTCTCCAAAGCACCTTTGCACAGTAAAACAAAAGAATAAACAGCAATCAAAAGAAAATCAAAAATTAATTTCCTTATGCGAACAGAGCAGGGAGTTTAGTCCTGCTCCTGGAGGACCACATTCGTGCACACAAAGTTTGACTCCAACCCTAATTAAACCAGAAACACCTAGCCAAGGTATTCAGGATTAGAAACTTTGAGGCTGGTGTGTTGGAGCAGGACAGAGGTAAACTCTGCTGAAAGGTGCTCCTCCAGGAGTAGAACTGGACAGCAATGAATCAAGAGTATTACATGTCATGGACTTTGTCCAAAGATTGTAAAAAATTTGAGGCTGGTGTGTTGGAGCAGGACAGAGGTAAACTCTGCTGAAAGGTGCTCCTCCAGGAGTAGAACTGGACAGTAATGAATCAAGAGTATTACATGTCATGGACTTTGTCCAAAGATTGTAAAAAAAATTTTCAATACATACCTCTCGACTTAGGGCACGCTCAGTTAGTGAAGGACGACCCCCAATGGTTAGAAGAGCAATCTGGCTTCCGCGGACCTTTGTGTGCCGTGACTGCAATGTGTTTTGCTGGTAGGGCAGCAAATGGTAGTTCATGGCATCCACCAGAAGACGATGACACCGAGGATCTAGCATCATACGTGCCACTGGCTGGATCTCACTAACCAGCTCACTGGCAGGGATGGTCTCAAAGCGCACATGAGACAGCAGTTCTGCAGCATGTTCTTGCCTCTTTGGGTCAAAGTCTAACCACTTCATTGCAATCTAGGTTCCAAGAAAAGTTAAAGTGAGTGATCTACGTTTAGTATCTAATTCAGTCTACTTTATAAATAGTGTTCATCCTGTACATATTTATAACCTTCTCACGACTCTAGCTGTATCTCTTTTTACAGTATGTGCTGTGTTTGCAAACATATTTAGCTTTTGGGTCACTGTATAAATAGGACTTCCTAAGCTTTTGTGAAACCTCTATTCCTCTTCCATCCTTCTTTCTTTACACTGACCTGAAAGGTGGTGACCTCCGAAGGAAGAGCTAGGTTGTCATCTTGGAGGAAAGATGTGATCTGCTCCAGGGTAAGTTGGTTGAATTGGGTTGTCTCAGAAAACTGGGCAAAATTCTCCAGAATGTAGCGCCGGGCAGCCTCGCGGACAGGCATCAGGCCATATGCAGTGCCAATATTCCACACGTACACACAAGTGTGCGCATTCAGCTCAGCCATCAGGAAGTCCATGCACATCTGGAGAAGATGAGGGATTTGCAGGGTGCTGGCTGCAGACACAGTGCAGCCAATGGTGTACAGGGACATGTGCACACGGCCCAGGTAAGCAAACGTAATCACATTGGCAAGTCCTGAGGAAAAATATAATACATATATGTTATGGTGTTTTAATATTTATGGCTTAACCATAACTTCAGGCATGATTCCAGTTGCTTGGGTCACTCAAACAATTGGGGAACTTTAAGAAATGCAGCTAGGTCAGTGGTCTTCAATCCTGCTCCTGAAGACATACTATCCTACAAATTTTAGTTCTAACCTGCTCCAACCCACCTGCCTGATTCAGGATCAGAACCAGAATTGTCCTGAATGGTTGCTTCAGGTGTGTTTGATGAGAGTTGGAGCTAAACTCTGCAGGACAGTAGGTCTCCAGCTGCACAAGTGAAAACCTCAAAGCAAGGTAATATCTTTTAAGGCTTACCGAGAGGTGAGAGGGTAGGAAGTTCCAGCCGTTTGAGTCCAGGGTCCTTGGCCAGGACTTCACGAAGATACTGGCTGACTGAGGAAATTACTAGCTTGTGAACATCGAATGCCTTGGTTTTGCAGGCTATTTCCATGTCAGTGAGGAATCGTTCCTGTCTCATGCGGCTCAGCTCCTCCAGCAGAGCGGATCCATGCAGGGGGCGGGTGAGCTCACTGCCCAAGCCAAAACCTCTCTCCCCAGGTCTTATCACAGGGGGTGGCAAGGGCACCCCATTGAGCCGGTTCAGCTGCTCAACATTAAAAGGAAGCTCCAGCTTCTTAACACCAGGCTCTGGTACAACCACTCCACTCTCAACTGTTGTTGGTTCAGGAATGGACTTCTTAGGGCGTGGTGACTTCTTCTTGGGAGCCATTATGATGTGTAGGCTGGTTAGATGATAGCTTTTTAAAAGTCAGGTCAACAGATTTTCAAACTGACAGATTCTGTGCCGATAGTCACTATGACCCAATGACACTTGAATAGATTCACTTAAGCTTTATTTATTTATTTGTTTGTGTATTTTTGTGTTTCTTTAAAGGTTTTTACTGACAGACTGATTTTGAAGCTGTGACACTTTTACTGTATCACAAGAGCACAGATTAACCAAGATACTATATGGACAGACAGACGCACTACACTTGCAAACTAACAGTGGAGGAGTGTGATTGATCCACTTTAGCGTGCACCACCTGGGGAAAAAAAAACAGATTAAACACAGTAGGTATGAGTTCAATAAATATCATATGCTTTATAATATCA